ATGTATGTATATAGGTAGGTAGGTACGTGCTCCATTTATTGGTGAGACCGCCCTGGAGCCCGGGGCAGTGGGATATTTCGCCAACACCCCCCCCCCCGAATCACCACAAGACCCCCTGTGGGGAACAAATCCCCCCCCTGGGTTTTGTATCCCATCCAAAGTTGGAAGTTTCGGAGCACTGAGACCCCTATCGCCCCTGTCGCCCCATGTCACCCGTATTCGCGCACCGGCGATCACATCCCACCCCACACACCCCACACAGCTACCAGCACGCACCCACTCACCCGCACTGAGGACCGCCCCGCTATACACCGCTCCTCCCTTCACCACCCCCCAACCCCCCAGCCACCCAGTACCGACCCCCCAACCCCCCACTTACGTTTGTATTGCACAGCTTCAGCAGCAGCCCCTTAGCAGCCGAAGCCACCAGCGCCACACCCACAGCGGAAAGCCCCGCCACAATACCTTCCAGCCAGCCCCACCCCCGGGTCAGGAAGTTGGCAGCACCCGCCCCCACCAGCGTCATCACGACCGCGCCCGGGTACTGGAACAGCGCTCCCGACATCATGCCGCCTGAGGGGCCCCGGAAGGGGGGGCCAGGGGGGGAGGTCCGCCTGAGAGAGGTACCATCCCTTGAGAGGAGAGGAGATACGACAAGCTGCAGAGGATAGGCTTTGGTGGACAGACAGACCGAAAGACAAACAAACCAGTTCAAGTACAGACATACAAACTTTCAGACAGATAGATGGGCAGGCAGGTAGGAGCTTCCAAAGGTGCTCCAATAGCGACCGGAAGGGCTGGAGGGACGAGATGTATGTGTGGGTGCTTTGGCCCTGTGGCTGTAAATCAACCCGAAATCAACCCAGCTGGCCCTTGGTGCCCCCCCAGGTGTTCCCCAGCCCCACCAGCTCCCCCCCCCCTTTCCCCGGTGGCACTGCAACCTAGTACCCACCCAGCACGCCCTTCTTCACAGTGCCGATGGCGAAGGAGACCTGACGGAGGAGCGGGGTCGGGGCGGGGAGCGGGGGCCGGAGGTTGGGGGACAAGGCACGGAGGTGAGTGCGTCCTCCTCCCAGTGTACGTTGAAAGCGAGCAGGTGTGCAGCATGTGTATGTACGGCGCATCAGCCCAGCCCAGTCCCCCATCTGCTGCCGCAGGGATCGCGACTGCAATAATGACCGGAGCCCCATTCCCTCCCTCCGCGTGAGCCCGTTCTGCCGCTTCTCCTGATTTGGGTTATAAGCGTTTGCGCCCACCCTACTGCCCACCCGTCCTGCCCCCAGCCCAGTCCCCCGCCCCCTACCCACCCCCTACCCGCCCCTACCCGCAACTGCCCACCTGTGTGGATGTGGGTCCCGGTAGGCACTGCCCCAGGGCGAACAGCTCCGTGAACACCTGCAGCGACATCCACTTGTAGCGCTCCACGAAGTAGCGCTGAAATAAACCTGAGCGCGGGCAGGGGACAGGGGGCAGGGGGCAGGGGACAGCTCTCTGGCGACATTCATGCTGACAGCCAGTTTAGGCAACGCCCCAGGACAGCAAGTAACAACCGGCTCGGAGGTAAATTAATACAAAGATAATCGCCGCTTAATTTTTTCCCCGGGGAAGTCCCGGTCCCTGTGTCTGTTCGCCCATCCGTCTGTCTGTTCGCCCATCCGTCTGTCTGTTAGCCCATCCGTCTGCCTGCCGATCCCCCTGCTTAGCGACGGCCTTTCGGCATGAGACGGCAAAAGGCATTTCGTCCGTTTCTTGCCGTGACGTGCCTCCCCTTTTCAGGCGCCATGGTCGGTCGCCGGTTCACATCGGGTTCTTTAAATCTTAAATCCCAGTGGGACGACGGTTAAGACGGACCCCCTTCGACTCGCGCGGCGAGGAGTCGCATTATGCACAGGTACATGCCCCACCACAGCCCGGGCCATTATCCAGTTGTGCGCCCAGAAGACACACTTACCGATGTGTGCTGCTGGTCCACCGAAACCTGAGTGGGACCAACGACACAGCAAACGATGGGCCGTGGTGAGGTAAGTTCTATGTCTTCATGGGGCCAAGGAGATGCTCTCAACGTACCTATGTAGCCCATCAAGCTCCAGTGCTTAAGAATGTCAAGATATGACACGCTTGTATAGGTTTCGTTATCCTCATCTTCCGCGGCCTTGTCAGCTGGTGGCTGGGAAGGCTGTTCCGCATTTGTGTTGGCCGACGGGGGCTCCGAAGTTGGCGCTGGAGCAGGCGCCGGGGGAAAAGACTCCCTTGGCGCAGAACCAAGCTCTACATCTGATTTTCCGACTGAGCCTGGAAGCTTGGTGCTCAAACGCTCCACCGACGATAGCGAGCTGGAGCCATTTCCATTCGCTACCATCTTGCGGAATTTGAATAATAATAGTAATAATAATAGAGCGGCTATCAGGCGATAGTATGTCCGTGCCGGACCGTATTGTTTGCAGGTCGCTTGTTGCTGGGACAAGAGGTTGGCCTGACGGCCTCGTCCGACAATCAAAACTGTACCACTATTACTTAGGATATCAGTTACAGACCCTACTCAAATACTTTCGCTCTAAGGGGAAAATGGTTAACGGTAATGCCCCGAAACCTTTCTCGCATATTCCCCTCCTAACATTCCTCGTTGTCGCTGCCCGACACGTTCACAAATCAATGTAGCTGGTTTCCTCCTCCTTGGCTAATTGGCTGAAGAGCGACTGGCCAAGTTTCGAAGGTGCTGCCCCATTGAGGTCATGACCTCCGAGGCGCTAACGACCTGGCCAGCAGTACAACCGGATATGTGGTTCGCACGCTGTCAGTCACCTGCTGCCGACAGGCCAAAGCTTGCAAGCGATTATGAAAACAAAGACTAATTTTATTGTCCTTACTGCAATTCAGTTGTAATCTTCCATCGTTGAAACTTGATCTACCTCCAAACCATTCGTAAAACTGGTTTCTGAAACTTCAGATCGACGTTCGCAATCACGTACATAATACTTTAAGCGACCAAATCCATTGATCTCCTTTAGTATAACCAAAGCTATATTTCACATGGCAACATCGTGAGTAATTTCTTAGATCACGTTGGCACTGTCAGCTAGCGTTGGAGGACGTGACCCTAACTGATGAAGCGGCACATTTACGAAAACATCTCAGGAACAACAACTGCAGCGGCCACAATAACTTCCCTGTATTGAGACCTGGCCGCCTAGCACTGATTTACCGCAATCCACACACATCGACGTTGGCTACCTTCGCGGTACGGCAACCATGAGCTACATTACGGCAGCGCGGCGATAGATGAAGTGAATCCAGGGTACTTGATCACTCCATCATGAACTACCAAACCCTTATCTCACCGTTTATGTTCCCTTTACCCGCACTACGCATAGAGTGGTGACTCGCTAACGCCTTCAGGCACGCAGGGCAGGGCGAACGAGCCGACCCATCGAAGCAACGAAATTAACCCAAATGCACAAAGGGACAGAAAGAAACACGACAGCCCGCCAGGCAGCTTCGAACCGCATGGCCTGAGCTTAATCGTCGCGCAGCCCAGCTGAGGTGCTATGGATTACTGGGACCCTTCACATCTCTAGCCAAAACGTCGTGTGATCTCGGGATGAATATGATTACAATTCGGGGCCCCACCCGACCCTCCTTTCTCCAACCCCCCATGGGGACGCGGCACGCCCTTACTCGGACAGCACAGGATGCTAACCGGGGCTTCACACGGGCCCACCAGCACCACCCCTCCTTCCCATTCGCCACCTCGGTAGCCAGGCGGGTGGTTCGCTGCATGAGGCCACCCACAACGTGAATACATACGAACGTACATACATACATATACAGCCGCGCTACAACCACCTCGTAACACCCCATCCGAATGTTGGTCTCTCCTTTCATCAGTACGTATACGGGCCACCTAACACGTCCTGTTGAAATGATCGAAGCCAACGAAACGTAGTAGCACTGGTAGTACTAGTACGGCTACACGGGGTACGACACATCTACAGCTCGCTATCACCATTCGTAAGCCGACATCACAGTATCGAGGGAGGCCTAATGATTCAAATGCCCTCCCAGGATTATAAAAGTAGGAACCGACTTGAAGGGGCAAATTGGTGCCTTCAAGCATGGTTGACGCCATGGTTACTTTGCGGCGCCCCCTTAACCTCTGAACCTCCTTAAAGAGGCTGGCCAATCCCTGGGGACCCCCCCCCCCGGACTGCGCACCCCGGCCATGGCCTGTCCACGCAACTTCAGACCTCTACCGAAGCCGAAAGAAAACGAAGGCGGAGTGCTTTTGACACGATAGATACAGTTGGGCATTAGATTCATCACAGCTAGAAAAAGAATGTCACACACTGCGTGCCATCACTGCAAGAGTGGACATGTTTGCCATCGCGGCCAGCTTGGTTTCGGAGCAATTTCAAGTAATGGTTTCGGGGAAATTCCGAGTAATGCCCTCCCACGCCGGGTACAAGGAAGCTAACAGCCATTTCGGCGGCAGCTAGCCATAATCTCAATCTGCTGGCACTCGTCTACAAACCGTATGCCAGGTTAACACTTTGCACCTTTGCAAACATAACGTCCTGCAGTGTGGGGTGGTGCTGGTGCTGGTGCTGGTGCTGGTAGTCCAATCCGCGTCTTCTTCCTCGGCTAATAGGCGCGCCGAAACCAATGACGCCTTCAGACCCCTCCTCCTCCTCCTCTTCAGTTGCGAGGGAGGCTGTAGCTGTAGCTGTAACTGTATGCAACTGCAATATCAGGTTGCGCACAGGGCTGTGGGGTGGCTTAGAGAGAGACGTGTTGCTTGTTGAACATGGGCTTGTGCACTGGGGCTGAGTAAATTGTTGTCCCAGGTGTAAACCGATGATGGAAATTGTTGCGCATAGATGTAGATGTAGGTGTTGGTGTAGGTGTAAGTATGTGCAGTGCACCTCCGTGACTCCGTGAAAGGCTTCACAAATAGTTTAATGCTTCTGTCCTATTTTGCACTGTGAATACTACGAGAGGGGGGCCGAGGACGCTGCCTGGCAGGAAGGTGGTCACCTGCGATCCCATCCCTGCGCCGCCACCCGACTGCCTGCCGCACTGCAGTGCCCTCCACCTGAGCCCTGCCCGTCCATAGTAACTAACGCCGCGGAACACACACCGCTGTGGCCACCGGCCCGTTCAATGCACTACGGAGTGCAGCACCGGAGTGCGCCACCTGCCTGGAGCTGCTGCTGCCTACTACAGCATGGGGCTGCGTGAGGCCGAGGAAACGACCGACCTGCTCTCCGTGTCCTGGCTGATAAGCATTCACCATGTGACATGTCATGCAAACGTTTTCGCACACCCTCAACACCGCAACCCGGATGCTCACGTCCCCGACCACACAAGGTGACCTGCGCCCCCTGTTCTTAAACCCACCGCACCTCCCCCCCCCACACACACACATACATACAAACGCTCCTCGACACCCATAACAGGGGATCATTACAACACATTGTAGTACACATCTGCAACAGCCCCTCCTCGCGTCCTTTGATAACCCAGGGGGAAACTCCCACACCCAGCGAACCAAACACACGTTCACACAGCGGCCAACCAACCAACCAACCAACCAACGAACCAGGGAGCTCAGCCAGTGGGAACTCAGAGAGGACCACAGCACAGGCCGCTGCCCGCCACCAGCTGGCGAAACCCCCTCCCAGACCCCCCCCCCTACTCCCCGGGCCGGGACTCACCTTCCGCGCTCATTTGTACGACACGGCGCCGCCTCCCCCTCCTTCACCTCCACACACCAGCACAGCGGCACCAGTTGGACCTGCACGAGCAGAGCAGAGAGGGTGTGTACGACAGGTACGATGTACGACAAACAGCATATGTACGAAAATGATGTTGTGGTAAAACAGGCAGCCATGCAGCTCAGAAAGCGTAGGATTGCGGGGTTGTGTTGCAGCCCGACGGGAGTGTGGTCGCAGGGGCAGCTGGGCGGGGCAGTCCCAGGCAGCCCCAGGCAGCCCCAGGCAGGCGGGCAGGCAGGGCGGGAGGGAGCCGCCCAGACTGAGTAGGAGCCCTCCACTCCACCCTCCGGGGAATATGCCACACACGAAAAAACCAATACTTCACCTCTTTCCCTATCAACCCGTCACCCCATCACCCTGAAAGCTTCACAGATATTATCAATAACCTGACTGACATACATAGACACACAGGTGTTGCGAGGAGCCGGCAGCCGCGCCCGCATGGTCCGGCTGCATGGACGGGGTGGTGCCGGGGAGCGTGTTGATGCGGGGATGCGGTTGGTTGGTTGTTTGAGGGCCTTGGTAGTGGCCGCCGAGCTATCTTTCCTCTTGACAATAATAGGGGGAAACGCGGGGGTGCACGCCCTCAGTCGAGCAGGAGGGGCTAAGTGGCGCCCCCCCTCACGCCCCTCTCCCCCCGCAAGGAGGAGTCGAGTGCTTCGGTTAGGTGCCCCTGGCCAGCGCCAGGCCCGGATCGATATGTCACAAATACACACACACACACATACCCACCCCAGCTGACCTTTCTTTCTCCCCCTTCACCAGCTCGGCTCAGCACCTCCCCCCCTTTCTCCCCTCCTCCAGTTCACCTACCTGCCGTATACCTCAGCAGGTCGCTCTGCCGGAACATCCGGGCCACCGCTGGCTCGCAGTGGTCGGGCAGCCACAGCAGGATGGTGGGGGGCTTGAACACCGGCAAGGGCGCCAGGCAGGGACCGGCAGTGAGACCGTGCGGACCACCTGCACACACACACACACAACGCACAACAACAACAACAACACACACACCCAGGAGAGACCGGTCGGAGTCCTACTCCGTCGGCTGTGGCGCTGTGGCGCTGTGTGGTTGGGTGTTGCTTCTCTGCCGACCGGCTAACTGGCTGACCTGCACCGTTAATCGTACCCACTTCGTAACGGAGGCACGGGCCCGTACCCCACTGGCATCCGAACTAACAATAACCGCCAACCGCCAAATACAAACCACCACCCCCAAACAACTATCCCATCCCCTTTCCTCCTCTCCTCCCCCCATCCAAGAGCACACACGTCTCTCACCCCGCGCTGCGCCGCCGCCGCCGCCCTCAGCCGCCGCCTCCGCTGCT